AGAGAACAGAATACCAGGAAGGGACTGGGGAATTTGGAAGCCAGTTATCATTTCCTTGCCCCATGTAAAATACAGCACTACCTGGAATATACTGTATAATGTATTGAAATATGCTCCAGCTGGGTGTCAGGGGCTTGTTATCTTCTGCAGGCGCCAATACTTTGCTGACCTTGGGGATGCTCAGGTTTGCACAGCAACTGGTATATTGCTAATGATGCAAATTCTGAGAAACTGCCCCAGTGATGCTGTCCTGCGTGCAAGTGGAGTGGGATACTATTTCTGTACTTTCTGTAATTTTAGACTCAAAGACAGAAAATGACGCTACTGTGTTTCAGATGTTGTTGCATAGTTGTTTCAATCCAATCTGTGCTTTTACATTTTGGTATCTTGTGTATCTTCGGAGTGTATTCCTGCTGTGAAGTATTATGAAACTTTGTGTGCCAGCAGCCATATCACCCTGCAACTCACAACTGGCAACCCACTGAAGCTCAGCAGGTGTGAGCCTGGTCAGTACCTGGATGGGAGACCTCCTGGGAAAAACTAAGGTTGCTGCTGGAAGAGGGTTACCCTTCACCCTGCAGTCCGTGTGAGTCCTAATGCCCCAGTATAGTGACGGGGACACTATACTGTAAAGAAGCGCCGTCCTTCGGATGAGATGTAAACCTGAGGTTCTGACTCTCTGTGGTCATTAAAAATCCCAGGGTGTTTCTTGAAAAAAGTAGGGCTGTAACCCTGACGTCCTGGCCAAATTTCCCATGCCTCCTAATAATCCTCCTAATACACTCTTGTGATCAATGATCATGCAGCAACCTTTATCAGTATGCATTGCTTTATATTTTAAGCAGTGCTTTAATTTTTGGTTATACTACTTTCAATTCATCCATTTCTTAACCTGCTTTATCCCATACAGAGCTAGAGGGGGAGCCGGAGCTTATCCCTACAAGTAACGGGTGCAAGGCAGGATACACCCTGGATGGGATGTCAGTCCATCGCAGGGCACGCACAGACACAAACACACTCACACAAGGACCGATTTTTCCAGATGCCAGCTAGGCTGCATGTCTTTGCACTGTGGGAGGAAACCAGAGCACCCGGAGGACACCCATGCAAACATGGGGAGAACAGACAAACATCATGTCGATAGCACCCCAGGAATGCATGAATGCACCCCAGCAATGCTAACCTCTGCGCCACCTTACTGCCCTATATTACTATTACATTACAAACATAGTTGTGTAAGCACTGTGTTGTATTGAATGTTGAGGTTTATCTATCCGTCACTGAAACAATTTTATTAATATCACTATTATTATTATTATTATTATTATTATTATTATTATTCATTTATACATACAATATACATTCATTTTATAAATGCCACTTATAACGTGATCTAAAGTGTTGCTAATACTGTCAGATGAACATTGAAAAGCAGGTATAAGAGGGAGTGAGCAAATCCATTTATATTATTAAGGCTGGTTCCACTGGTCCCGTGCTCAGCTTAAAAAGTGATATACAGTACAGTTCCGAAAATAATTAAGTCCAAATATGGAGAAAAACAGCATTGCCAAGAGACTATGGTATAAATAAATCCTGAATTAGAATTTGTGGATTTTAAAGTATGGATAGCAAGATGTCCAGCGGGATTTGCTTTTCACCAAAACAGGCTTTATACCCATAAAACAGAGGGTGTAGTACTGATCCTCTGGGTATTGTCCCAGCTGCCCCAATGGCCATCTTGGTCTTCTGTAGCATTCAGTTGTGGGTCTTTGTCGGTTTGCAATTTGTAGTCCACAGTTTAAAAGACAAAACAAAGGCAATGTGGTCTGTTGGTTGGTTCTGTCACTTTCAGAGTGAACTGCAAATCAGCCAAACGTCTTCTATCAGGCAGGATCTAATTCATTACTTCTAATGAAATTTAAATACACATTCTTGAAGAGGTCATGCTTTAGTGCATTACTCATTGCTGAAGTCATGTGAACCATGTGAACTAGAACACACAAAGGGCATTGAATTAATTGTGGAACTTGTTAAAGTACTTTCTTGTACCTGAAATAACTTAGGTTTGACATCACAAAAGGTGGTGAATACTTATTGTATATGATTATCATATCCAAGCCTTTGACTTTTGTGCTGTTTTTGTTGACATTTAACTTCTTTCATTCACACATACAGTATACTGAGAGAGATTTTAAGTATAAATAACTTGATTTAAAAAATGCACGTACACCATTTGCAACAAAATGGGATGTTATCGGATGGGGGTGAACCTTTATGCAAGACTATGTCAGATTTTGTATGCGTTGCTAATGGTGTCCCTCCTTTACCTACCTGTCTCATCTCCTGGCCATAAATCATGCAATTCTGTAGCAAGATCCAGACATTCAGACAAATGTTTTTTATGTGCTTGCTTTGTTCATAACATCTAGATGACTTCATCACATTAATTTCTTTTGTTGACCAGATTAATTTTGAAGAAGAAAAAAAAAAGTTTCAGCTGTAGAGCCGGAAGGAGAAGGAGAAGGCTCCACAGCCAAAACATTCAGCATGGAATAAATCTTTACTTGTTCCTTTGCAGTATAATTTTGGTTTGACTTATAGTTCATATTCAATTAAGTTAATGCATTTTCCAGTTCAGTGTGAAGGTTGTAACATTGGTTTTATTAAAAAAAATGAACTCCAGAAGTCCTTACTGCCTGTGATCTACACAATCCTAAGTATAAAGGTAGGAGGGAGGTATTTTTCTAACACCTGCCCAATTCTAGAACTAGTCCTGTCTGGACTTTGTGCCTCTTTTCAGGTAATTGAGCCCATGTAATTACGTGTATATAAGAAAGAGTGTATATTACCTTTTGATGACAAGGCAAGTGCCACTGCTTATTAAATGTATTCTGATCCACTGGTTCCTCATTTTGGGGTTCTTTTTTTTCTTCCTAAGCTTTTCAGAGCACTGTAACATCATAAAACACATAAACGATATACAGGTAACACCCCTGAGAAATGGAGTGCTTTATATAAAAGCCTCTGAAAGTTATTTTGCTTGTGTTTCTTGTATCAATGCTGAACTATTGCGGTCTCACTTCCAATCAATGGTGACAAAAAGTACAAAATAGAAAACAGTGTCAGCATTTTCTTGTAAAAAAAAAAAGATTTCTCACTTTTAAACCTCAGAATTTAAGATTACATACCAAGAGGAGGTCATTTGTTTGATGACTTGTATCTCATTTCTAGTAGCTAAATCGTCATTTGTTTTATAGGAGCCAAAACATTCCCTCACTTCCCACAGGAACTGAACTAGTAATGAGAAGCAGCCTCCTGCACCAGGGTTAATTCTCTCTCTAAAAAGCAAAAAAATATCAGAATTTGGAGAAATGCATTAGATATTCCACTAGGCCTTTCAGTGATTTTCTTCCAATTCCACCATCTTCTGAAGCAACAGAATGCCTTTATGACAGGCATGAAAAAAACAAAGAAAATAAAAACATGACAGAATATGGTCTGTATTAACAGGTTTTATTTAATTTTGAAAGCTGAGCCTCCATCAATGAGGAATGTTTTAGCACTGGATTTTTCACAGGCTGGGAAGTTTACGGAAAACAGTCAGAAAGCTTTTTTTATACAGGTTTGTAAAGCAAACACTAACTAGGTTAACAGAGAACTTGGGATTACACAACACCAGTCTACAAGAAGACATTATGCTACTTGTTATGAATAATACATCTAGAATCTCACTGCGAACAGTTTCTGGCATCCCAGAGCATTTCCACCCATCTGCTCTTCTCAGAGAAGTTCCAGAGCTTAGAGCAGGCTGCTTGCATACGCTTTTCAGCACTTCAAAAATATAAAGCCAACCACACATCTTAAAAGATCACAATCAATGTGTTAGAAATCATAGAAAGGACAGGCAAAGTTGAGGGAATTTAAAAGGATGATCAAAAAATTTGAGTTACCAAAAAATATGTTTTAATTAGTCATTTGGCTTTCATATATAATACTGTGCAGGTGCATGTTACAATTCCTGAATTCTTTCCATTTTAACACGTTGGATTTAAACATACGACCAACAAGGTGAGAAAAATATTAGCAACAACTAGCCTATTAAATGGCAGCCTGCCAAAAACAAAGTGTGAGCTAAAAGGAAAAGTTACACTTTAAATTAGGCCTTTGAACCTTAATGTACACTAACAAGCTGTATATGATATACTGTACAATAAGCTTTACATTTGCATATGACAGCTTATTAGCTAATAAAGGTTAAACCAGTAAATATAATAACAGAACTGACATTGCTTACTACTCAAAATTGGATTTAGCATTACGCTACTCACAGAATTTCAACAGATTGATGGTGAAATCAGTTCAGAAATTAAGGCAAAAAGATAATTCTCTAGTAGGCTTAATGGACAGTCACATTAAAAGGGTAATCTTGTTCTTCACAGTCTGGACATGGTTTGGCCAAGTGTTATTCAGGAAAAAGAGAAAATGATCCGCTTCAGTTAATGAGAAGTTACCCATCTTTCCTGATTTTTGACACAGTACTGCATGTCCAGATATTTGGCTCAAATTTCCCAATGGTACTCAGTAGTCTAAAGGACTCATTTCATAGGATATGAAGAGACCATAGAGCATATTATCGTTAGAGCCTGTCACAATATTTTTTATGTTTTAATGAAAGTTTGGTGAGGACCTTATACAATCAAACATTTACTTTTTATTCAACCGTTACAGAAAAGAAGCTTGAGCATCCAATTGTTTGAAGAGGCATAATGTCACTTTTTAAAACTGTAATGGTAATAAAGTGTAACTAAAAAGAGGATACAAAAACATTTATTCATACTTGAAACAATTTTTTCCTGCCATCTTACTGAAAATGTTTCTCTCACACTGTTTTTGCTGCTATTGCAAAAAAGGAATAAATAAATGTAAATGTGTCTGGACTTTGGCTTAGTGTGGGAGGTCCATCTCTACCTTATTGCCTAGAAATGCAACTGTAATATTAGTTATAATAAGCAACAAATCAGCAAGGCATGTGTCAGTGTGATATGAACAGCGTCGGGATGCTCTAGGGCTCACACATTGCAGAGTTATTTCATTGCTTGATTGAAGGCACACTACACACCTCTCATCCAGTCTAATAATTTAATTACGCTCTGTCGGGATAGAACTGCTTAATTAATTATAGCCTCCTTTCAAATCGTTGTGGGAAACCTCTATTTGACACAAAGGAAAATCTCCATCAGTGTGCTAATTTCTGCGCTAAAAGGCCACACTACATAAATAAAAGAAATCTGTTATAAATAGTGAAAATAATAAACAGCAGGCTGTTATCTGACCTGTTACTGGAGTAATATTTTCCTCATTGTAACAACTATTCTCTAAGCACTACCAGACTCAGCATCTCCAAAATGTATAAGCAAGAGCATAGTGTCAACCTGGAGAAAACTATTCTACCATAGAAGCACACATTATTTTAAGATAGCTAACAACAGAGGTATGTCACAACTTATTCTGCACCATCTTTTCATAGAAACATTTCCCAGATTTCAGATTTCCCCAAAAAAGTGTCCGTTTTCCATTCAGCAGACATTTAAATACATCCTACAAAGTACTCTAGGTAGCTGTAATAAGATAAATATTTATTCATGTATAGTAAGTAGACAGGGATACTACTTCTAATTTTAAACACTAAGCACTTAAAAGACCTCTCAACTGCCAACACAAGAAAAAAACTTCAGTTACCTAATTTAACAGTCTCTCGGTCAGGCTATGAAGGGCTTGCATTTAAGTTTTGATGCTGCCTGTTTGCAAGAAGAAAGAAGATCTCTACACCTACTTCTACAAGGTCATCAGATACAATATATGAATATATTATGATCTAGAGTTACAGTATGTGTATCTGTACAAAGAGGAACAAGTCTAAAGAATTAAGACATTTTCCCTTACAAAGCATGCCTAGGGTCCTGAAAAGCCAAATAATATTCTTCTAAGTTTAGACTCAAAGAAGAAAAAAAGATGGCAATTTCATTTCGTATCAGTCTTACCCAACAACTCTTTTCCTTTTAACACCCACAAGAGTAGGCTAATAGGAAGACTGCTTTTAGCAATCCATGTGTATATAGATTGGTGAACCAGACCCTCTCTAAAGCATGGTAACAAAGGGGATCTAAACCTAAATTTCTCCTCACCACACTCTCATGATTAAGATTCATTCAATTTAAGAAACAAAAAAGTTGCAGCAAGGAAGCAATTTTATCCCTGCTTTCACTGGCTGACCAAAGGGTCTGAAAACTGTGCTCCTTTTTGTTAAGTTTCTGAAGCCTACATTCTACTTCCCATTATTATTTGCACCCTCATTTATTCAGCAATTTTCCTCTTGGAAGGAGGGACTAGGTGTGGAGGGAGCTCACTGGGTAGCTCATGGCCTTCCAGTTTGACCTTGATAAGGTGGTTCGCCAGGGCAAACTCCTCATCATCCAGCATGCCATCTTTGTCAATGTCAGACAGTTTCCAAATCTTCCCCAGTACAGTGTTGGGTAGCTTAGACTTCACCATCTCTCTCTTGGCATTGGCGCCAGTGACTTTCCCATTGACGGGGGAAAGAGTGTAGAAGATTTCGTCATACATGGGTTTGTCTCGGATCACCACCCACTCCACCTCATCGATGCCTTCGCCTGCTCCCTCGCCATAGCCATGACCAAAAGGCCCGTTGAGCGTGCCGTCGAAGGCACCTCCCTTGACCACCTGGTTGGGTTTCTGGGTCTCCTCCTGCCTTACCAGCACCATGAGCTGAGCAATGTCGTTGGCCAACATGTCATCTACAGTGTCCAGCAGTTTTGCCTTCAGTGGCTGAAACTTGGTCAGGTCATGGGCTTGTAGCTGATCCTGAAAGAAGAAATACGGGAAAGATGGGTTGGTTTATCTGTTTTTTACTTTTCACCCAAACACATCACCAAAGGAACACCATCCCTACTGTGAAGAATGGCAGAGGCAGAATCATATTACTAAGATGATTCTCATCACTAGGCACTTGTCAGGGTACAACTGAAAATGAATGGAGCAAGTCAATAAAAGTCCTTGAGGAAAACCTGCAGCCTTCTGCAGGAAAGCTGAAACTGGGATGGAAGTTCACCTTTCAGCTTGACAATTACCCAAAAAACATTGAAGCTGCTAAAGAAACAAAAAATTAAACCTCCTCAAGTCATCCAGTCAGAGCCCTGACCTCCATACAACTGAACATTTGTGGAATCACTTGAAGGTTGCAGCCTATTAAAGCTTTTAATAACAAAGGTTACACACAAGAGACCATTCAGGTCACTACTGTAGGTGCTTGAGTGAATAGTTGAAGTAATGTACTTAACTATATTGGACATACTTTACGGTTCTGCTTTGTTTTTGTCTTGGTTCTGAACAGCACATAGGTTTAAATCTTATATGCAAAACTGCATCTAAGTTCTGTAGTGTATTTTCTCACACTTGGAAATGGGTCTCACCTGCATTTTCTTTAGGTTAGGGAAATCCCCTGGAGAAATCTGATGTTCCCTCTCAATTCGCCCGTAGATTTCCCCCAAACTGTTTATCAACTCCTTCTTCTTGTTTTCTTTTCCAAAGACAGCAGGCATCTCTTTCTTCAAGGAGCTGATTATGTAAGCATGGACCTGCAAAATCAATTTAAAGACACCGAGGTTAGCAGAGGCAATTCTCATCTATGCATGGACTTTCCATGGGTTTCAATCTAACACCTCTTTGCCGCTTTCTGAATGTACGTGTTTCTGGTCTCTGTGACCTTTTAACAGGGAATAAAGAGAAAAGGGCGAACCTAGATGAGCAGAGAAGCTGGCAGAATTTCAGTACACTGATGTTTGTTAGTGAGCATTTATAAACCAGGAGTAAGATTCAGAGCATGGCTTACTGTGTTAACATATTGAAAAAAATTAAGGAAAAATCACAGCAGTCCAACAGAATGAGACATTCTTCTGATTGACAGTGCCGATATTCAACTACTCAGAGAGGACTCGGCCATTGAACACCTGTCTATAATATGGCAATGAGATCTCCAGGTGGAAATGAAATTATTGGAACAGCTCTTCAATATGAACAGCCACAGCCCCTACATCGAAATGTACAGCTTTTGTAAAATATTTCCAAGGAACCATAATATTTCCAGAAGAGACTGCAAAATGATAATGCTAAAAATTAAGCAGCAGAGTAAAAAATAATCTTATGGACATTTTGGACCACAAATCAAAAATAAAATCAGAACAATTTTGCAGCTGTTCCACAATAATAATGGGGGACACAAGTTGGTATACCATCTTAAGCAGCACCAAAGCATCCTTGAATCACAAGTTATAGATCTCTACTTATAAGTGCTTCTGAAAGAAGATTCCAAAGTTCTCACAGGACAGTTCTAGTCAGCTTAAGACTAAACACGGATTAAAATAATAATAATTCACAGTCCTTGCAGCACTATTCCAGGAATCACAAAATTAGGGAAATAAAATTCAAACAATGAAACAGGTTAGAGGGTATCAGCTTTGATGAATATAAATTAAAAACCTGAGAAACCAGCAGAGCATCCTTGACCTAGTAATGGAGCATTCTTGAGGATCCTAACGACTGATCTACTGTTCTTAAAACAAGCCCCAGCCAGTTGGGAGCTAATAGACGATTGTTAAAAATTAAATGGTAACAGAGTCCAGAGTGTACTTAATACAGTTCCAAACATCTTAAGCATGGTAACAGAGTCTCCTGCAGCATACACAGAACATACAGGTATAGAGTGTCATATTAAAACAAGCAGCAGTAGTGGCATGCACACATCTCCCGGCACAAACAAATACAGATGGCGATCTCAGGCAGCTCAGGACTAACCACAAGAGAGAGATGAGGATAAAATGTGATGCAAGGCCTACCATTAAAAATGAAGAGGTGACAATTCCTCAGAAGTCCTTGGAAGGTAAAGAATATTTAGGAAGAAGCAGACAAAGCACAGAATGAAAACTGCAATCTTCTAGCCTAAATTACAGTGTGTCTCTCATTACAAAAAGAAATACCGTATCTCTAGTGTAGTCAATATCTTCTGAAAATTTTAGTAAACACCATGGTGTGAGTAAGTTTTAACAAAACATTACATACACTATTTAAAATAAACATAAATCTGCATATGGAGAAAACAGTTCCAGAGGAGTCAGAAAAGGTAGAAGAACCCCTGATGCTTACTTCAATCCCATATCAAAGAATTTCTTCGTTACTTTAACATTACATGCTTGACAGGAGCATCAGCCTTTTACAGCATTTTGCAGCTCATTAGCACAACCATTTACACAGTGCACATTTGTGCCAGCTGAATGATATACTAACCTCAACACCCACACATACTGTAATAGCATGGCAATACATTCCCTGTTTTTTCCAATAGGAAGGCATTTTAGCCATTTACAGACAGTTGATACTTGCACAAAGCTGCCAACAGCAGTTACAGATGTATACTACATAATATGAATAGAATTGTCCAATAACCCATCTTTTACCATCTGGATGAGTGAACAGCAATTATATTCTTCAAACAGCACTTTTTATGTATTGGCATCTGATTTTGAACAATAACACTGTAGAAATTTCTGTGAAAGCCAATTTAAAAAATGCAAAAACAGTTTACAAACAGGGTTGATCAGGTCTGAAAATGAGTAACATGTTTCTGCAAGATGAAAACTGCAGTAGCTGAAGTCCTTCTGATAAGAACTATTTTTAAAAGCAATGTTCAAATAATGCAGGAGACGCAAATTCCACTTTCACATCTCAATCTTATCCAGATCCACATCTGATAGACTCTGGGATACATCAATATTAGATTCCACACAATTCCTCACAAACTGGCTTAAATGCCTTGCTCTAAGTCTTTGGTGATGACACTTTCTGGTTGTATACATAATCCTACAATGTTTTCAGACTGAAAGTAGCACACACATAAAAGCTAGTATGACACAACAATTTATTGACCTAGTATTGTATTGAGGATGAGAAGCTCAATAGACCATATAAAGCATTCCACTCTGGAAACTAACATTGTATATCAATTATCTCACTGAACTGAAAGAGGGAAAGGCAATTACATAGCTGCTGACAGGGGAGGAAGAGTAACTTGCTTCTGTGAATAAAAACAATGCCAAGGAAGAAGATGTCCCGTTCTGAAGTGGACAGCTGTTTCAGGATTCTGACCCAAAGTCCTAAGAACTTCAACTGTACCTTCCTTTAGCTAAGTGGCAGTTTCAGGAACAGACCACCTGGGATTGGCACACTATCCAGCTGAGAGAGCACAGGATCTGCTCTCTTTCCCAAGGCCACTGAATAAGGGAAACAGGAGGCAAGGACTGCCTGTGCTTTTGGAGCTCTGGCTGTGATCCATTTGTCTGTCAAATGAACATTATGTGGCTTAAAATTAAACGCTTTACTTCCTTTTTAATCCAAAAGGTTTTATCACCTTTTTAAACTATGCTCATCGGTGCCTCATAATTTCAATTATTCTTCCGATACAGAAAAATAATGAAATAGAGAGAGAGACTCGTGATAAAATATCACAAATGAGGCCAATGTTCCTTTTGGTACTTTTGGACAGCCTGAAAAATGAGCCCTGTTACTGCCAAGCTTATTGTCAACTGGGTACACTGTGCAAAAGAAAAAAGCACTACAGGGATTAAAAATACTGCTGATGCAACTCGTTCTTGTCGTCTTCAAGGAACTTTTTGTGGTGCTTTCTAATCACTCAAGTTTACTCACACCTTCTTCCAAATGCTGCTCATCACTTATCACAAGCAATTTCTTCAACTCTGAACAGACACACAAAGTAATTTGTACATACATGTGTGCAGAAAATACTCCTTGCAATCCATCATTTCTCATGAGTTTTGAAAATGTATGCAAAAAAGACTCAAAAATTGCATTATCTACATAATAATTGGTATTAAGACAAAAAACATGGAAGTGAAGTCTGCAGTAAGAAGCTGAACTGCAGGATGGAAGACAGAATTCCTTATAATGGAATTAGAACGGAATGTTCTGCCTTCCCCCACTGTATCAAGAAACACTTAGGAAATTTTTCATGTGCAGAGCAGATAATTTTACTATCTGACCAAAGACCTCCAATGAAGCAACCTAGTCTGCCGAGTGACCTTTCCTTCCTCGCAATTGTTTGCAATATGCTCACATGGTTAAACTCTTAACTATGTGCTGCTAGTTAGGAACAGCTACTCGAACGTGCAATGCTACTGGAGTTTCCACAGGAGAGTGCAAGTCTGACGCCAGATTATACCACTCAATGCCTGGTAGAAATTTTTAGCGAAGAAAAAAAGCAAGTGAGTGACATTTAAGGACCGTTAACTTGATAAATGATAGTGCTTTATGCATCAAAAAGGAACTTGTCAACTGTGAGAGCAATGCAAAGGTACTGTGTATCAATTTCTTTTGGCCTCAAATCTCAAAGTCTCTATGCCAGCATGATGACCAGTTTTTGTACTTTGTTCTGCAATGTATTCCACATGACTGAGACTTTATACATGAACTCCATTTTCCATGTCTAAGCCGTTTTAAAAATTAGGTATGAATGCTGCAAAACAGCCTTTGCAAATGTGGATAAAGTGCTAATTACAAGAATACTCAACTCATAAAACCATCAATGAAATGATCAAAAATAGAAATAACATATACGAGAGACATTTCACTACGCAGTCACAAAAGACAAGATTGAAACATTTCTCACTGATACTGTGAAACAGAACAACAGATGAACACATTAAGAAATAGACCAAGTTAAAAATAACCTTAAACTTATGCAGTTGAATTTGCTCAACATGATTAAGCGCTTTTCTCTCGCAATCACATGAAACACAAAACATGCTGTTCGTAGATCAGGAATGTTGCACATCAGTAGGTTGTGCTGTGGTTTTCTGTGGGTAAGAGAGGCCACAGGCGGAGCGAAACAACACTCTGTGGGCTGCTTGTGACGCTCTGTACTGCAGCAACAAGAGAGCAAGCTGGCCTACTAGCACAGACCAGTCGATCACAGCCCGGCTACGGCTGGCATAGTGACAGGCTGCCATGTTGAACCCATTCTGAAGAATAACGTACAGTACTTCCCATGCTAACCAGCTGCAGAACTATGGGGCTTTTTAAAAAAAAGTTAATATTGGACTATATTTCCTTCAGCCTGCCAGCTCAAAACCATTTACAGTAGAATTAACCAATTCTGTACAGACTGAATGCTTTTCAATCTGTACAGAAGCAAAACAAGCACAACATAATCCACAAAAACAAAATGAATCCAGCACCAGGATACTGAGTGGAACTAATCTAGTCCTGGCCATCTGACATGCAAAGCTGGACAACATCTAGGAAAGCAGAAGCTCAATCAGCTGATGTCAAACCAATGTTTAATTTCAGAAGTACAGGATATTGTCAATTAAACTCTAAAGCCCTTAGGGAAAAACACTGCTCTTTATAAGTGGTCAAAAACCGCTTGGAATGGTTTCCTTTGAGTAACATTAAGGCAATGCTTGATAGTTGACTGAAGGTTATCACTGCATTCTTTCTTCATTCTTCATTTGATAGATAGAAATCTGGCAACCTACTGAATTGTAACAAAAACATATTGTAGGATAGCTGGTGACTAAGTCTAATATCAGAACTTTAATTGTATTTAATTTAAGACGAAAGGTGAAAGCAGACACTCAAAGCAGCTCAGCAGTCACTACTCAATGCTAATGCAGGATTAGTGTTGTTCATCAGATAAAAGTAACACTGACAAGACAGTGGATGTAATTACAACAAAAACTGTAAATTATTTGTTTTATGTTGCAATGATGACGGGTTTGTGACAATGGGGAGGATTTGTGGTTGAACGATCTACAGCACTTCCTTTAAGATGTCTTTACAGAGTATCATATCCTGTATTATAGGCAGGTATTTTACATAAGAACCACTTTGAAGTTCAAAAAGCTCATGCATTCCAGATGTCTTGAACCACTAAGAACACCCGTCTCTTCATTTAAAATTGATGAACATCTTTTCATATTTCATTTTCACGACTTGGGACATAGTCACTTCATCATATCTTCTATAAACTTTCTTAAAGTAATTTTTACCGATTCCAACAAGTGTTTTCTCACTGTGCATAAAAGCTATTTAGACAATATATACTGGATTTTGAGGCAAATCTATTTTTTCAAGTGGTTTGAATGGATCTCCTTTGAAAACTATTAATGCAGGCTCAAAGCAGCTTAACTACGTTTAAGAAAGGGCATCATGATGCCTACCCACTGAGCAAGATCACTTTTATACCCTTGTTTATGTTATTAACCTTCTCCACCTGCCATCAGTTTCTACAGCTGTTGATTGAGGTAGAAATCCAAAAAGTGCAGCTAAACATGAGGTAAGGCGATGTAAAAACACAAACCCTAGAAAGGTAGCGCTGGACAGGATACTCAAAATTGTCCTTTGTCTCTATTGCCTTGTGATGGATTTTCATCCCACATCCACAAGGATTGTGCTCTTGCCCTGCCTTGCGGCCTACAGTTTCAGGTGCAGGCTTTGGTTTGTGGCTTATGGATAGGAGATGGATGAATGGATAGAAAAAGTCTTACCTTTGCCAGCCGTGCCCTCTTGATAAGGTCATTGAGCTTCCTCAAAGCAGCATTTCTGGGCAAGGACTGGATGTCCTTGAACAGGTCCTGCTCCTCTGCTTCAAACAGCTTGCGGTTGTCTGGGATGAGCAGCGGGTGGGACCAGAAGGAGCCAATGTAGACGCGGATGACTTCGGGGGTGTTGACAATCTTGCCCAGCGACCACATGAGGGCGCCATAGACCCGCATCAGCTGCTGGGTTTCGATTTGGTCAGCCTTGTTCAGAACCACGCGGATTTTGTCCTCATGGTTCTTCAGAGCCTTGATGACCTCGGAGAACTCATCAGAGATGTCCAGCTTGTGGGCGTCGAACAGCAGGATGATGCGGTCCACCCTCTCGGCGAACCACTCCAGCACTGCAGCAAAGTCATAGCCTGAGAAAGGGGAAGGAAGAAAAATTAAATTAAAATGGGTAGTAATAATAATAATAATAATAATAATAATAATAATAATAGTGAGCTCGAGGGCTAGTTTTTTATGTTCCCAGTAAAAACATCCGTCTAGCAAAGTTATACAAGTGCTCACAAAGCTGTGGTTGACAGGACAAGAAACTATCAACTGATAATTTCTTCACGACTGTTAGCGAATTAAAGAAAGAAGTGGACCATTAGAAATGTAATCTTTCTCGTGACCTGAATTTAAATGCCACGCTGTTCTAGTTCCAACTGGGATAATCGTTGTGGTTCTAGTCCGTATTAGTGCTACTGTTCTCAGTGTTTATGTTACCGTGACATAGCGCCCCTAAAACGGCAGCTTTCACTGCATCTTTTAGTGTTGAAAAAAATGCCTTCCTTGCACCCTATGCAGACAATATTAATAACCAATTTATATACTGTAGTTGTGATTATTATACACTATGTAGAACTACATGTTCAACAATTGGTGAAAATAAATGAGCAACCATACTCGGATATAAAACTGCAGGACTGAAATGAACATTAAACAGGTTGTGGAATTAGTGAATCAGTGCCATCTGTAAACTGTACTTGTGGGATGAATGAGGAAAACAGAAAGCTGTTGAGATGCTGAGTGAAAAACAGTTCACCATAATTGGTAATTAGCAGATTTGTAATGTTATTGACATGGCAATGAAACCAGTCTTTTAAAGGAAATTGGTGATAAAACACAGAACACTAACACTTGTTTACAATATTAGTGGAACAGTCATAATATAGTAGGTCTGACAATGTAGATTATTTGATTGATATTCTTAATATACTAGAGAAGTCACAAATTTTAATTACTCTACAATGGCTAGATATTTTGAAGCACAGTATGTTCAGCTTGAAAAAAAGATTTCAAACCACAGATTGGGAATGACATTGCATCATAACTGAAACTGTAAAACTTTAGAACTTAGTGACTAAAGAAAACCATGAGGGAAACAATAGGTCAGCACTTCATTCCAGAGGAAAAAAAAAAGTGAAATGTATCCTAAATATGTTTGTAAACAAATCTTATCACAATTTCTGTGTGAATCCCACAGACCATTTAAAAAGTATAGTGTAATGTTTTTGAGAAAAAAGGGT